GTCAGACGGAAGCGGCCATCTTTGTTCATTACATGGAAACAGGGAATCAATATGGAGATCCACCTCTCTTTATCCAATAAGCTCGGAAAAGAGATGGAAGGGAGCTCGACGCAGCAACCCAGTTCAATACTTGCCGGGATCTGATCCCACTGCGCATACGCTAACCTTCATACGCCCAAGGTTATTTGCGGTCGAAGCCAATATTCTCTTATTTTATTTTCTGGTATTTTTACTTTTTCTGATTGGAATTTCTTTGGGTTTTGATCAATTTAGTTGTCTGAACGCTCATTAAAGCTGAAATTTATGGCGAATGCTCCTGGATAATGATAAAAATTCATTGGAATTGGAATGTTCTGTATTGGTTTTATGGGCTGAATCTCTCTCTCCGACTTTGAGATTTGTAATCTGGTTTGGTTGTGTGTGTATGTGTAGGTATGCCGTCACATTTTTAACATATGGTTCTAGAGATAATGGCTTGGAGCTTCGGATTAAACCAATTTCGTTTTAATTAAGTTCAACTTTAATGGAGAATTTACTAATTGTTTTAAAAGAAATTCAGCCGCTAAGAATGCATGCACATGTGTTAGCTTCGTCTACGGATGTCAATTAAAATATTTAAAACTCGCTGTTCTACCGCTAATCGATGGTAGAATTATAATTATAACATCGAAACTACAACTGAAATTATTATGGTTTCAGAAGCGTCCAAATAAGTGATCTAAGGGCCCAAACATCAGAAATTTACTTTTTTAACGAGCAGTGCAATATCACCAATCAATTTCAAATAGTTTCATGCCCTAGTGTCCCTTTAGTATTCATTTACATCGCAAAAGAACGGTTAAAGTTGAAAACGACTCAGGTATGTGTTACTCAGGGTGTGCTATTGGTAATTTGCTGCTACTCGCTGAAATAAAATCTCGTAAAATCTGTCTTAAAACGCTTCATGAGCATGGACCAGAATTTTCGCTGCTTCAGTTTTGTATAGAACTATTAGGTACATTTTTTAAACTGCGCTTAAACAACCCTATAAGAAAAAGTCTGTATGACTCAGAGCTGGACGCCTTGCTGGCCATTTTCTATAAGCTCTTCTGAAAATTTATTTTCGAGAGTACCGCTTATTAAACTGCCTAAATTGTAGAACAAAATGAGCGAAATCTCTACCAGGGTTAAAATGGAGATGTTCTTCATCAAGCAGTATAGCCCCAATTTCATCCCTTTGATACTATCTAGGTCACAATTAATGAAACCTGAGTATCATTGTAAAGCTTATTCAGAAATGAAATATTTCTAGATAGTTGATGCAACCAGACGTTAGTTATTAGACTCTCAATTATTTTCACACTTGAATAATATAGAATACTTGTTTTTTGTTGGTGCTGGTATTCATTACTTTGTATGTAAAAATACGGGTAATATCTCTCTTTTATCATTGCATTGACGACTAACCAAACATTCTGCATTTTGACATCTCTTCCAAACTATGCTTTGTTTTATCTTCGATTATCACTTAATTCTGCAAATTGCCGCACATTTACTTTACATCTATAACAGCTTTTTTACAATATAATGTTTTCTTAACGATTATCAATTTATTCTTAAACTAAATACATGATAAATGTACTAAATGAATATGAAAACCACAGATGGTATTTTACTGCCCCATTGTGTCAACAAGAACTAGTCGTCTATTACTCTGTTAACCATTAACCAAACTCACACTTTAACACATAAACAATAACCAATTTAAATCACACAAACATTATGAGCTGGCAAATATTTACCGAGACTTTCAACACTTGAAACCCTTAAGAATACCGCTAACGGCACAGTCGTTGTTAGGAATCGATTCTCGGCACGTGTGCCACTTTCTTCGGCAACTTTCTTTGTAATTGCCATTGTGGACCTTTCGAGCCAGTGCTAAAGATCTGCTGTTTTGACTGTGCAGACGATTTCAGGTCAAAACATTTTGATGTGTTTGTTTGCCCTTTTTCCGTGAATGGGTCGAAATGCTTTTACCACTTCTTCTGGGCGGTTTATTACTTGGCACGGAAAATGTTGAGAAAGTGGTCTCGTTTTCACTTTTCAGGTGGTGGCATAAAAGGTATCAACAATTTTGACTGGGAAACCTAAAAATGAATTATATTGTTTAAGAAAAAAACATTGTCCCTTTTTGAAAGAGTTTTAATTCACGCTTAACTGCTGCTGTAATAAGCGCTGTTGAAAACGTGTTTTCCGGATTTGGAAGATAATTTTAAATTTTGGAACATATACAGTGAGCACATTTATATGTTTGTGCTCATTGATGATGACTTTTCATGTATATTGCGAGAAAAACGATCTGATTCTAATTTGGAAAGGTACCTACTTGTATTGAATGAAAAACATGAAACGGTAATAAATAGTTAACAAATTTGTAACGTTTCCAAATGTTTCCTAGTTAAAATAATCCAAAGGGTTCAGATCGGGATATTCGATAGGCGGTTCAGCCACTGATACGTCGCAAGAAATACTTCTGAAATAGGCTTGTATATTCTGCACAAACTTTAGTTGATAGAAATCATTGACGTTCCATGGCTTCCTCTTCTACTCTGCAGCTCTGCAACCCTTGGTGGCTGACCGCACGATCATTCCCACCATTCTCTATCTTGTATCAATTCAGGTTATACTACTAGGAAAGATTTATAATTATTATTATCTAAATGCCTATTCGTAGACAATATTCCGGAAGGCAATCTTCTGGAGGATTGGAGAGCATTATAGTAAATGGCGAAGTGATAAACAATCTGCGTTATGCAGATGACACGGTACTTCTGGCCTTCCCTGGCAATTCCCAGAGCTCTCAGGTCTACAATAATGTTGTTTCTCCATCTGATCCGCGGTCTCCCCAGAGCTTTTCACCCTTGAGGGTTCTGTTCCCAGTCCATTTTGATCACTCGAGAGCCTGGCTGACGGTGTACATGTCCAGCCCATCTCAGCCGCCCGGCCTTAATTACTCTGATAATGTTTGGCTCCTCATAGAGCTCAATCAGTTCGTTGTTTGCGGACTGCTCTGTGCCTGGGTCTTTGTATAGTCCAAGGATTTTACGCAAAACTTTTCGCTCAAATCACTTCAGCTTGCGCTCGTTTTCCTTAATAATTTCCAAGTCTCATTCCCATATATGACCACTGGACATATGATGTTTCATGTATTTTAATTTTTGATCTTCGGGATAGATTCTTGCTGGACATCATCTTTTAGAGAGTACATGCATCTACAGCCGCACTGGATTCTTACCTTGACTTCGCCGGATTACTATTTTCCTCGTTACCCTTTCGAACTTGTACTCTCCTATTGTAAGTTTTGCCCTATTCTATATCTTCTTCTCCTTCTTGCACAAACACACATGTATTTCGTTTTGTCCTCGTTAATTTAAACGCCCATTACTTCCGCCTAACTTTCAAGTTTATTAAGTAACACAAAGCTCAAGGGTTCTCCTACCCTTGGGCCATCAATACCAAAGACCTCCGTGGTTGATTCCTCCTCTTATGGCATTTTCCAATGCTATATTGAATAATATAGGGGAGAGAAAATCCCCCTGTTTCAAGCCACTGGACACCTCAAATGAATCTGACAGCATTTCACCAACTTTTACTCTACTTCTGGAGCCGTTGATGCATACACCTGCCCGATTAGCTTTTTGGGAATTCTCAGCTCCACCATTGTGTCCCATGGCTTAACTCTTAGAATACGAACATTTGATGAATACATTATCTGATAAATTCCCAGCATTTTCTAACATTTGCCTTATTGTAAATATCTGGCCGACAGTAAATCTATTTTTACGGAATCCACACTGGTCAGAGTCCCCCCAGCCTGACTACGATGGGTTTAAGGCGTTCCGGAACTGTGTTTGCAAGGTTCTTATATTCCGTGTTGAGTAAGAATATTCCTTTATAGTTACTACAATTTGCTGTGTCTGCCGTTTTATGGGTAGGGATGGTCGGCCTTTCTTTCCACTCATCTGGAATTTTTCCCGACTCCATGGCTTGCTGTAGCATAAACAAGACAAAATTTTTTCAAAATGAGTCAGTAATTTGATTTAAAATTTGATACAAAATTATGGGGGGTGGCCCACAAAATACACTTCCAACCAAGCTGGGTGGTTAAAACTTGAGGAGTACCTGTAAGGTCATGTCATTGTGTTAGTACTGCCAAGTTCACTACAATCGGGCGGAAGGTTCCGGACTTATGAGGAACATAGTAGAAACCAAATTTTTTCAACGCTCTGAATCTCCGAAACAATGCGCTTTTAATAAAATTTTATGTCGTGTAAGGACATTATTCTAGCCTGTTCTATTTACTCCAGGAGCTATCAGAATTAAAGCGGAATCACCGTGTATAATATAACGTTTATAATACAGTCATCAACAATTTTCGTTGTCCAGTAATTTAAGTAAATCCAAAATGGTGTAGGAATTTTTTGTTTAAAAAGCAAGCAAAAATTATACTTAACAAATATCAAATTGTTTTATATGGGACATTGTTTGTGGGTCAATAACTGATCTATTGTGTTTCATATGTAGCGAATGTCATGAAATTCCGAATTTCCGCACACGCAGTAAACATAATACTTATTGGTAAAATTAGTTTATGGTATAAGCAGTCACGCCCAAGCATTCTATAAAACTGGCTCTCAGTTTCTCAAGTGGATAATCTGTATTCTTGTCGAGAATTTTACGCCGTTCTCCATTGCGTACCGAGAGGTATTAGTTGTCAGGTCGACAGCAATAATTTCGTTAACTTTATGTCGCCGTTTTCTCATTCTCTTTTGATAACGCCGCACCGTCCGAGCCGTTCTAACTTAATAGCCTGGAGAAAGGATTTCGTCCAAGTGACACTTGGACCGGCCCAGCTAAATTGGTCATATTTTATAGAGTAATGATCCTCAACAATGTTGTTAAAGCAGTCAAGAAATATTGGAATAGAACGTGACGCACTCAAAAAGCTTATTTTGTTTCAGATTCCCAACCTCAGGAAAATGGAATAATAGCCGCAGCATTAGTTGAAAGATCCAGCTTACATCAGAGCCATACAAGGTAAATATTATATACCTATTGTACATTTTGCAAACAGCTGGTTTTGTTAGGAACTACTTGACAAAAATCGATAGGCTCTAGAAGAGTCACTTGAACACGTTGATGCATATATGAAGAAACGCATCTTCGAACACGAATACCTAATCAAAATTTAATTAATCGTCTGTCTTTAATTATATTGTTCTCTTCCCTGAGTCAGTTCGATGGATCCTGTGTCGAAACTAAAACGTTAACTTAATTTGTTTCTCCACCAAAGCCTAAATTAGTAAAAGAAAGAAAAGGGGCAGGGCCGGGTAGACGAAAGCACATTAGATATGAGATTTAATGATGACTGGTCGACGTCTAAATGGCTTTGAAACCAGAAAGGCGGCTGATAAAACTGGCTGGCTCGCCTGCATCAGATAAACCTGTCAACTCCACCCTTGATTTTTTAATGGCCGACTCCCGGAGCCATGAAACTCGTACGGCTTTTTTGCAATAAGTTTTAAAATAGTACTGCAATCAACAGCAAAAAAAAACAGGATGAAACGGTTTCCTTGACAATAAATACTTTCACACCTCTACTTTGTGGTAGTATTCTCAAATATGATTTAAGATCTGAATTAATATGAAATGTTTACGGCCCGTGCTCCCAGTTAAGTACCAACCATCCAGGATTATTTAAAGTTTTTGAAATAAAAGGATTTTGCCTACTCCCTCTTATCTATTGAAACCAAAAGTTGTCTATTTGGAACGACTATTTTGAGAAATTTCAACCCTTTTTTTTCGAAAATCTTGAATGGCGCGAAACCGGAATGAACAAAGCTGGCAATTGAAATTTTCTTATCCAGACTGATTTTGTTGATTATAAAATATTTTGAAACCTCAAATCCGTTTGAATCGTTAGAAATGGAATTTGCCTTAAAAGTTATGTAACTGTAATTAATTTTGAAGCAAGTACCGATGATACTGTTGTATTTTCCAGTACCTACATAAGCCAATTTAAACGAAACTGTTGTTCCGTTATGCTCAAATAAAAGCCTACTAGCACCAACAATTTGATTGCGAGATCTTTTAATATTCAAACTGAATTTTCACTCATTTTTCAAGAACTGAGAGCTTAAAAGGTTTGAAGCAAGGAATCAATGAACGGAAAACTATAACTATGTTCATTCATACTTAAAGGTCATTCAAAAATTGAATTCTCGCCCCAATCTTAGTAGAAAGTTTGATCTGGTACGTGTATTTTCAAAAATTTGTGTGGTTTTTACGCCTCTCTTACCTAAAGAATTTTTATCCGTGAGAATGTGGCTTTGTGTGCAAAGAGCATCTAGTGTCAACATTTCATTCAAACGGAATTTCTCAAATTACTTGCTAAAATTGAATTTTCATGCAAGTCATGAGTCTTTAAGACTTCCTAGGCACTCTGCATCTGGAAATAATATCGATATGGCTCTTTCGCTTTAAGAATTGTCCACAAAACAATTTCAGCAATACTTGTTATGCTATAGTTTGTCAACCTCCCCCTTCATTTTCAACAATTCTAGTAGAACAGCGTGTTTCATATTGGGAAAATCCGAAAGCTTCCTCTTGCCACCTTTTATGAAGGTTTACCAATGTTGAAATAATTCTTAAATTGTTAATAAATGTCGCAACACACGATTGACTACTTCGTTAAAGAGTAGGTCCCGAATTTCATAGTTTCAGCTCGATCCATTTAGAAAATATTCCTAAAATTACAGTTCCCAAATATGCTTCAACGGGCCGCAGCCCCGTTAAGTTGCAATTTTTGGGTTAAATCTGTAAGCAGCTTGTTTTTTCCTCTCATCACTAAAATGCCCCAAAAATATTTTGACTTGTGGCGGTGTGTTTAAAGTAATTACTTGTTCGTACAATAATGTTTATTATAATCAACATTCAAAAAGACACTCTTATAACACTGTCGTGTTTTAGAAAACAGTAGAATGGGACTTTTGCAATATTTTTTAATTTTTAAGTTTTAATTCCTTTTTTAATACATTCAATATACATTTATTGCTGTCTTGTTTCAAGACATTTTATTATTGTTTTCTTCATTAAAACCTATAACATTTTTCAAATTTGTTTCCATCAGCCTACCATAGGAAATATTTAGATGCAAGTTGTTATCATAAAACTGCCTCATGAACAGAGAAAACCCTTCTAAACAATTGGGCAAAAACAACTTTATTCGTTTTTCGAGTGGCCTCGAATGCAACTTTCACTTTTATCGTCGTTATTTACAACTGAGCAACCAGCCGGTATTACGCAAAGGGCAATTTCAAGAAGGACTTGCGAAGGCAACCCCGATTTTCAAACCCGACCCTTTTGCATAATCTTGTCATTCTTAAAGGGTGCCTAACCTTCGGAAATAAAATAAATTCCTTTGTCGTAAAGCAGGATGCTGGGGACTAAAGTGGTCTGCTTTTGACACGCTCGGCCGTTTTTGCCTAAATATTGTCATGTATAGTGTATACCTACAAACAATAAATAAATGAGAGATTTTTGTTCACACGAAATAACGTTTATCGCCAATTTACGACCGATTGTACCGACGACTATTCAAAAACCTGGCCTCGTGATCCGCTCGGCTATCAACGCTATTAACAGTTTTTGGAAAGCCTGATTTGGCTCATCAGGGACATGGTAACATACCTACCTACCTACCTACCTACCCTTTTATTTTCAAGGAATTTCGCAAATTTCAGCTTTAGTGCTAAATAAGATATCGACTTCAGAGCAATATTAGATGGAGAATTAAAACTGTGGGCAGGAATTTGATGATTAGAGCCGAAACGCTGAATGATGAATATGTCCATAGGATATTTTAATTGAAATTAATTACAACTTATATACTACTTTTGGAGTTCTTGATAAGATTCATTTAGATACAGAACCACGTTTGACCAGAAAAGTAGATCTACTAATCTCTGGGTTGACTCAAGATTACTTCTCTGGTAAACTTCATTGATCAGTTGCGTAGCTTCCTACTCTGTCTCGAGATAGATGGCGCGTCACGAAAATGCTAGAAGCCAATTAAAAACATTACTTCAGTAAGCCAAAAAGTTAGGACAGCAGTTGACATAGTAATTGTGATAACTGAGTATAAGATTTATTGATATTGAAAAAATCTTCATTGAAATTAATTGTGCAACTAGCTGAACGGAAAATGTAATATAATGTTCATTCACCAATGTCTAAAACATATTGCTTTTAGGTAATTATCTCTGTCTGTGAATTATCTCAAGACGTAAGTCACTTGATCTATTAGACTAATTCATTTTTGCATTTCCTTCTCAAATGAGCAACAGTCAAATTTTAACAAAGAAAACGGAACGAGTGTCATAATCAAGATGCAAGTTGCAGACCGGTAAAGTTTTTACTCTGTCAGATTTTTTAACACTACAAGTGTTTCTTTAATGGCTACAGCCATAATAGCAAACATATTTTCTCCTTATTGGTTCGGATACCTAATCAATAAAACATTAGGTGGTTTACTGACTGAGGATATATAATTCTTAATGATAAAAATTATTAAAAAACTCGTCATTTATTGATATACAAGATACAGGGTTATCCATTTTATGCTTGGGAAAGTAAAGTACAAACACACAAAATATTCAGATGGAGACAAAAATTTTAATTCAATGTAAAGATTAAATCTTGCCATTATACGTAGAAAACAGTATCATTTAAATGTCCTCCACTGGACCTCTTACAGGCCTCAATCCTTTTGAGGTAATTAGGTAATTTTGAATTACTTTTCGGCACATTACCGGTAATATCTCGGTCGTAACTTCACGGATATCGGCTTTCAGTTGCTCAAGAGTTTGTGGACTGTTGGCGTAAACACGATCTTTCGCATCGCCCCACAAAAAGAAATCTAACGGTGTTAAGCCGCAGGATCTTGCGGGCCAATTGACATAAATCAATCTCGAAATTACGCGTCTCGGAACTTAGGGCTCTAATTGTGAGTGTTGTGTGACTTGTTGCCCCATCCTGATGGAACCACATGTCTTCCAGATCATAATCTTCAATTTCTCTCCAAAAATAATCGTTCAACATGCGTCCATAGCGCTCAGAATTGACTGTCATGGCCCTTCCTTGATCGTTTTCAAAAAAGACCTGCCAATCACACCACCCGTCCATTATGCATACCATACGGTCACTTTTTCAAGATGGAAAGGCCTATCTGTGATCACCTGAGGATTTTGAGGGCCCCGTATACGGCTGTTCTGTTTATTCACGTAACCACCGAGCGAAAAATTAGCCTCTTGACTGAAGAAAATTCAGTACGAAAAATCATCATCAACGACTTGTTGTTCAATCACCCAATTTGCGCATGTTCTGCGTTGCCCATGGCCTTGAGGCTTAAGTTCTTGAGTCAGTTGGACTTTGTACGGATGGAACTTTAAATCAAATTGCAAAATTCGCCACAATTGGCCGTAAGAAAAGCCGACATGTTGAACACGTCGAGGAATCGACGAATTCGGGTCTTTCTCCACACTTCGAGCGACAAGCGCGATATTTTCAGCTGAATGAATGTTGCGATGATGCACAGGCCTTACAATATCAGTAACCGATCCAGGCTTCAAATTTTTCGACTGTGTTCGAAATTGTTTGCTCTGTAGATCGATTATGTCGACCGTAATCTGCTCGTAAAGCCCTAAACGTTGATCAGAATCACCATTTTTATGATAATTTTATAATTTTCACTCGTTTTTCGACAGTTAAACGATTCATTTGCCAATGAAAGCCTTCAACTAAAACAAAAACGCTTCGGATGACGTTTGCCTTTGACAGATATCAAATCGCAAGATTTTACTTTTCCACCCTCGAATTGGATAACCCGTTGTTATCAATACCTACAAACTTCGGTTTTCTGAATTGGCCTATGTGGACCACACTGTATTGATCTGTTGAACTTGGAAATACGCATTCTGTACCCCTTCCAGAAACAATATTTACCTATCCTTGTGCTTTATTAGGTTGATGTTGGTCAAACAATTCCAAAAATATTTCCCATCTACAGATGCTTCTTTTAACATAAAGGTGTCAATTGATAGTGTTTTGGAAAAATCAGAATTGTTGACTCCTGTATATTTCAGAAAAATTTCGGAAGCTCTGAGACCTTTAAGACCTTTAAGGGTCATGTAAGTTATCATTAGCACCTGTTACGTTTAAAATTATTATGTTCCATGGCATAAACATAATTCGTTGGTTGTAAAAACGTTGTTCGGTTAATTGCTTTTCACTAATTAGCACGAAATTTAAATATGCATGGTATGTCGTTGTAAAGCTGGCTAAATTCACACTTTAAACTATTTTAAAATAGATTGGAGATTGGTCATGTATTAACGTTGTCCAGAAATCTTACTAAAAATCATCCAGGCAAGGGCGGATTCAGCTTTCAAGCGAAGGGGGGGAGGAGCGGTTATATCGTAGAAAAAAGTCTTTTGTTGTCTATAAAATTCGAAAAATTAACGGTAGTTGATATAAACCCAGCACCAACGGGCGTCATAACCCTCATGAGAACCATGATGACATGGTTGGTCATTACATGACATTGGTACCGTTGGATAGAGCACTGAAAATTCGATTCAGTCATTACAACAAGTGTGAGGGAATTCGGGAAGTTTTGACCGAGAAAGCGAAATTTCAATATCAGACACTTAGGTGCAAGATTATGCCAACATTTGTCACACAAGCAAAACGAGCGAAAACGCTCACTTTTACATGATTCTAGAGAGAACTAAATGCCCTTTTTAGAAAGTGAACCATGGATGGGGAAATGTTGGCAGTTTTCTCAAAAAAACCTGGACTTTAAGACGTTTTAGATTTACGTGTTTTATTTTTGTTCGTAAAATCTACTCAAACATGACGCTATTTTTTTTAAGTTTGCTAAGCCCCATTTCAGCCATTGAATTTGTTTTGGTATCGTTGGATAGAGAATGGAAACTTTGATTCACTCATAACAACACGAGTGTAGGAATTCGAGTAATTTTGACCCAGAAAGAGAAATTTGAATATCAAACTCTTAGGTGCAAGGTTATGTCAAAATTTTATGTTTTCGGTCCGGTTTTTACTCATTTCCCGGAAGCGAAATGACCGAGAACGCTCATTTTTATATGATTATGATATAGAAATAAATGGCCTTTTTAGAAAGTGAACTATCGATAATGAAAAGTTGGCAGCTCTCAAAAAACTCATGATTTCAAGTTTTAGATTTCCGTGTTTTTTGATTGAGTTGCAAAATCGACTAAAACGTGACGCTGCTTTTTTCGAAATTTCTGAACCCCCATTGACCGCTTCTAGTGAGCATAAGTTGCACGCAAAAAATATAAAAAATTTGGTAATTGGTTTCAAACCTAACACGTCGCTGGGTTTCTCGCCATCTGAGGCACAGTTGCTCAGATACAGAAAAACCTAAAGGTAAACGTGGAGAAAATTTCATCATGGCAGGATTTGAACTCCATTTACCTGTTTATTTTATTTAAACTGCCTCCTTAATAGCATCAGTCACATCGCTCTATCAGTTTCTAAAAGCCCAGATTTCCTTACTGTTTATGAGCTGTTTTATTTGTCTCAAAATTCAACATAATGAAGGAAAAGAAAATTTGTATTTATACTAAAAATTAAACGTTTGATCCAGATAAGACTTTTGATTTGTTAATGCCATAAGGACATCTGAACGACTTTCTTAATATCAGTACCTTGACCATCTGACCACCACTTTCAGGGGCGGATCCAGCTTTCGAGTCAGGGTGGGTCAAGTAGTAGAAATTCGGTCATTTGTTGTCTATGAAATTGGAAAAATTATCGTTAGTCGTTATAGATCCAGTGCAAGGGGGAAGGGGTCATGACCCCCATGACCCCCCCCCCTGAATTCGCCCTTGACCACTTTCACATAGCAGAAACAATCTATTAACTTATTGCATATTTAATCCGAAGGATATAAGATGGGAATATGCAAGTACGCTGAGGGGTGAAAACTTAAGGAGTATTTGTAAGGTTATTAACTGTGTTTGTATTCCAAAGTTCACCACAATCTGATGAAAGGTTCAGGAGTTATGAGGAATAAGTAGGAAACTAGAAAAGGAATATTCAATTACGCTGGGTGGTTAAAACTTAAGGTGCACCTGTAAGGCTATTAGCAGTGTTTGCATTCCGAAGTTCACTACACTCAAGTGAAAGGTTCAGGACTTATGAGGAAAAATTAGGAAACTTATCTTTCCAACGCTCTGTATCTCGAGAACAGTCATTATTTTCTGAGCACTTTCACATAGCAGAAACAATCTAATAACTTATTGCATATTTAATCCGAAGGACCTAAGATGGGAATACGCAAGTACGCTGAGTGGTGAAAACTTAAGGAGTACTTGTAAGGTTATTAACTGTGTTTGTATCCCAAAGTTCACCACATTCGAATGAAAGGTTCAGGACTTATGAGGAATAAGTAGGAAACTAGATTTTCCAACCATCTGTATCTCGAGAACAGTCATATGCTTAGCACTTGCACATCGCAGAAACAATCTATTAACTTGTTACATATTTAAGCCGAAGGACCGAAGATGGGAACATTCAACTACTCTGGGTTTTTAAAACTTAAGGAGCACCTGTAATTGTATTAGCAGTGTTTGTAATCCGAAGTTCACTACATTCAAATGAAAGGTTCAGGACTTATGAGGAAAAAGTAGAAAACTTATCTTTCTAACGCTCTGTATCTCGAGAACAGTCATTATTTTCTTAGCACTTTCACATAGCAGAAACAATATAATAGCTTATTGCATATTTAATCCGAATGACCTAAGATAGGTATATTCAACTACGCTGAGTGGTTAAAACTTAAGGAGTACTTATAAGGTTATTAACCGTGTTTGTATTGCAAAGTTCACTTCAACCGGATTTAGAGTTCAGGACTTATGAGGAATCAGTAAGAAACTAGATTTTCCAACCCTCTGTATCTCAAGTACAGTCATTATATTCTTAGCACTTTCACATAGCAGAAACAATCTATTAACTTGTTACATATTTAAGCCGAAGAACCGAAGATGGGAACATTGAAATACGCTGGGTAGTTAAAACTTAAGGAGTACCTGTAAGGTCATTAACTGTGTTTGTATTCTAAAGTTCACTACAATCCGATTTAAGGTTTAGGACTTATGAAGAATAAGTAGGAAACTAGATTTTCCAACGATCTGTATCTCGAGAACAGTCATTATATTCTTAGCACATTCACATAGCAGAAACAATCTATTAACTTGTTACATATTTAAGCCGAAGGACCGAAGATGGAAACATTCAACTACTCTGGTTTTTTAAAACTTAAGGAGGACCTGTAAGGTCATTAACTGTGTTTGTATTCTAAAGTTCACAACAATTCGATTTAAGGTTTAGGACTTATGAAGAATAAGTAGGAAACTAGATTTTCCAACGATCTGTATCTCGAGAACAGTCATTATATTCTTAGCACATTCACATAGCAGAAACAATCTAATAACTTATTGCATATTTAATCCGTAGGACCTAAGATAGGAATATTCAAATACGCTGGCTGGTTAAAACTTAAGGAGCAGTAAGGTTATTAGCGGTGTTTGTATTATGAAACTACTTTAACACTAATTAAATAGCACTGTGCTCCTAACGGCATATTTGCTCCAAATCTTCGCAATATCTTGTCCGATATAACTTGAGTTAATAGCTTTCATCCATTTAACCCGAATTATCGCCAAGATTTGTCGTCAAATGACCGTTGTCCTTCGTAGGCGACTGGAAATTATTGATTAAATTCAGCAGCATTCCATTTTATTGACGAGGAAATAACTGCATTCTCCTCCTAAAACCAAATTAAAAAGATGTGTAGTTGATAATTAAACATTTACTACAATAGTAGATAGTAACATACTTTAAATAGTACTTAATTTTGTCAAGCGCTTTGTTAAGTTTCGACATATTTTACTACATAGTGTTCGTAAAAAAATTTTGTGAGTACCTTCATTATCTTATCTTTATAATGTATTCAAATGGTATCTGAAAATCGATTGTTTGTGCCGCAGTTTGCCGGCACAAACTCAGAAGACACGAACCCGACACCTGGCAATAATTTAGTAGAGCCGTTACCTATTTATAATTTAATAGCACAATTTCATGCGAATCTCACTATAAATAAGATCAAATTTTGATGAAAAACTATGTGTTTAGAGAAAAATGTTGAGGATAGCAGAAAATTTTAAATCCAATGGGAGTTCTGAGTTCACTTTTTTTGAACTGAAAAGCAGTCATAGTTAAGTGGCTGCAGTGGCAAATGGGCGGTCGATGAAATGTTTTCTGGGTTTTCAGCTCAAAAGCACCGCTCTTTTGACTGGATATCTATAAGCAACTTGTTAAATTTTAGTTACTTTTCAGTTTAGCAGCTCTAGCCGATCTATGGAAAACAAAACATTACCTGAGCATTGGTCCACTGGACGCAGTTTTTGATAAGTTTCAACTAGTTCGTATCTGCCACGTGGTCCGCTTCACAATTTCTTCTGATTTGTTGTCATATCAAGTCGGTAGTCGCTAAATTAGTATTAGCTGCCTCTGGTAGTCATCATCAGAAGCTGAAAACAATAAAATAAATAAAAAATTAAGAATATTTTTAGCAGAACTGGTTTATATATATATATACAGGGTTGCTCATTAGTGCGTCAAAGTGCGATATCTCAGTAAATATGAACTTTACAAGAAAATACGTCCTACGAAAGTTTTTCATGTT